GAGGGGGAGGCAGGAAAGAGGATGAGGGAGAGGAAGGGGAGGAGGCGGCGGAGGAGGAGGAGGAGGAGGAGGAGGCGCAGGCCCCGCGTTCGCCGCCTCCCTGCACGGAAGGAGCGAGGGAACCCGAGGGAAGGAGGGAGGGAGGCTGGAGGGGCAGGCAGGAAGGAGAAGGCAGGAGGAAGGAGGAGGAGGAGGAGGAACAGGATGATGAAGATCAGGATGAGGATGAGGATGAGGATGAGGATGAGGATGGTGGTGCTGCTGCTGATGCTGATGCTGATGCTGATGATGATGATGGTGCTGATGATGATGATGATGACGATGCTGATGATGCTGATGATGATGATGATGATGATGATGCTGATGATGCTGATGCTGATGCTTATGCTGATGATGCTGATGCTGATGCTGATGATGCTGCTGATGATGATGATCATGATGATGATGATGACGACGATGCTGATGATGACGATGATGATGATGCTGCTGCTGCGTATGATGATGATGCTGATGATGATGCTGATGATGACGATGATGATGGTGATGCTGATGATGATGATGATGATGATGATGATGATGATGATGATGATGATGATCATGATCATGATCATGATCATGATCATGCTGATCATGATGATGCTGATGATGCTGCTGATGATGCTGATGATGCTGATGCTGATGCTGATGCTGCTGATGATGATGCTATGATATGATGATGAGGAGGAGGAGGAGACGGGGCAGGCAAGCATCAGGAGGAGAAGGAGGAGGAGGAGGAGGAGGAAGAGGTCCAAGTGGGAGTAGGTGCAGGAACGAAACGGGAGGAGGAGGAAGAGGAGGCGGAGGATGAGGAGGCGGTGCCGGAGGTCGAAGTGGGAGTAGGTGCAGGAACGAAGCATGGGGAAGGAGGATGAGGAGGAGGAGGAGGAGGAGGAAGAGGAAGAGAAGAGGAAGACGAGGAACAAGAGGAGGAGGGGGAGACGCAGGAGGAACAGGAGGTTGCGGAGGGGGAGGAGGGGGGGAGGAGGAGCAGTATGAAGAGGGGGAGCATGAGGAGAACGAGGGGGGAGGACGATACTGAGGAGGAGAGGACACAACAGAAAGAAGAGTAGGAGGAGGGCGAGGAGCAGGACGATGAGGAAGAGGCAGAGGGAGGATCAGGAGGCGGGAAAGAAGGAACATGAAGATGGGGGACGAGCAGGAGTGGAAGGAGTGCGAGCAGGAGGACGAGGCCGTGCGCAGGGAAGGTGCAGGAGGAGGAAGAGGAGGAAGAGGAGGAGGCGGAGGAGGAAGAGGAATAGGAGGAGTAGGACCAGTGTAACCCACGAGTCATCGACGATGTTGGAGTAAACCCTCCCTTCAAGCTCCCTCTTCGTAGGCCCCTACAACGGTTCATTTCCATTGATGGAGCTGCTTCGTTGGAAGACACCCGTTTAGCGACCTTGAAGCATGCCAAAACATTGTTCTCGGGATTCCAACGCAACGGATCAAGTTGACTGTTGCGTCTTGACGATCCTGAGCCTGCTAGGACGCCATTCCTGGGACGCCAGCACAGAGATTCAACGTGACCGTTGCAGCCGCATGATCCTGAGTCCTTCTAAACCAAAATTTCTGGTACGTTGATGAGGGGATCCCCTGAAACTCTTACACCTTTTCAAGTCGAATGTGCGCGGCGCTGGAGGCGAGAGCCACATTTTGAAAAGAAACCACCCTCAAGCCGTGAATATTTGCAGTTTTTTACAACGAATGTGCGCGGCGCAGGCGAGAGCCACATTTTGAAAACCACCCGCCTTCAATCCGGGAAGCTCTTGCAATTCTGTCACAACGAATGTGCGCGGCGCTAAGGCGAGAGTACATTTGAAAAACCACCCAACCTGAATCCGTGAAGCTTTTGCAATTTCTGTCACAAGGAATGTGCGCGGCGCTACGGCGAGAGCCACATTTTGAACATCAACCGGCTTCAATCCGTGAAATTCCTGCAATTTGTGCCACAACGAATGTGCGCGGCGCTAAGGCGAGAACCACATTTTGAAACCCGCTTTCAATCCGTGAAACGCCTGCAATTTCTGTCACAACGAATGTGCGCGGCGCTACGGCGAGAGCCACATTCTGACAACCACCCGCCTTCAATCCGCGACAGTCTAGTACATTTTAAAACGAATGTGCGCCGCGTTAAGGCGAGACCCACAGTTTGAAAACCACCCGCCCTCAATCCGTGAAGCCCTTGCACTTCTTGAACGAATGTGCGCCGCTTTATGACGAGAGCCACAGTTTGAAAACCACCCGCCCTCCATATGTGAAGCTTCTGTCAAGTTTAAAGTCTCAGAGTCTTACGTGGTGAGGATGTCTCAGGCGAAACGCTGGGCCCGCCCTAAACATTGGTTTCGGGATGCGACAGGGGGAAGCTATTATTAAGGACAAGGAAGGGAGGAGAAAGGGGGAGGAGGAGGGAAATGCAGGGGGAGGAGGAGGAGGAGGAGGAGGAGGAGGAGGAGGAGCAGATGGCTGCAAGGGGGCGGGGGGCGGGAGGAGGAAGGGGAGGAGGTCTTGGCGCGGGGAAGGCAGTAGGAGGAGCGGAGGGCGGAGGAGGAGAAGCTGGGGCAGGCGCAGGAGGACGAGGAGGAGCATCAGGGGGGAGGGGCCTTCCTACATAGCCATCCCGCCACCGTTCCTTCCCTCTTCGTGTCATTTCCCGTTGTCTCTCGCCTTTGCATCCCCTCTCACCTCGGAGCCAGCCCGTCGATTTGCCTGGCGTTGACCGGGCGGCCCGGGCGCCAGCTCCCGCGCGGACAGATTCGCGTTCAAACTCAGCGCTGGCGGAGGTCAAGCAGTGACGAAGCGTCCTGGCTCGCCTGTAGGCCTACGAAAGGATGTTCCAAGAACCTTTTGTGATTTCAACGAGATGTTCTTAGAACACTTCTGGCTGGGACTGTCTTGTTTTAACACGTCGGGTTTCTGTTCTAATAATATTGTCTTTGTTTTCAGGGCATTTTCGGGTTCTAAGAACATGTTGTTGTAGGCCTGTAGGAATGCCGGGACGGTCGCCCTCCCTGCTCAAGGAGGGCGGGTAGGGGGCAGGGCGAGGGGGGTGGGGTGAAATCAAGAAGTCTTGGGCGATCTCTTCGATCGATGACTGCAGGAGATGTGCCCGCAGGGTATACCCGCCCTTCGTCAGGTTGCCGTGGGCCCGCGCCGTGGGCGATCTCGAGGTTTGAGATTCAGTGGTGAACATTGTGCTGCTGTGGCCGTGGCTATGAAGGCGCTGGCCACGGTATCATAACACACTGCGAAGTATTGCGGGAGAGTGTATTTGCACACTGTACGTGAAATGGTGCACGCCCGATGCAGATCATTGAGAATTGGTACGACATGTCGGAAAGGGAACGTGATTGTCACATTTGTTTCGTCCAGTTTCACGTCCAAGCTCGGTCGTTGGCCATGCCTCAAAACACCACATCAACCAAACCACCACGTGATTCTGGCGTTCCTGTCGCAAAAGCTGCGGGGACTGCTGTTTGTCCCGGCGGTTGGCGATCCAACCCGCCCGCGCCAAGCTGTACCGCGCACGCGCGCTCCCGCAGGCGCCATGCGGTGGGGTCGTGCCGCGCTGGCCCGGCGGCGACTCCAGGGCAGGCGTTCGAGATTGACTGCCGCCAGCGGCCCAGGCCTCCGATACAGAGCGGCGCGTGCGCCATCGCAACGCCGCGACCACGATCCGCGTGGTGCCACGAGCCAGCGCCGCAGGCACCGCGACGTGAACCTGCTGCATCCGAACGTGCGCGCGGGCAGTGGGCCTCTCCCAACCCTCGGGGGAGGAAAGGCCGCCCGGACCCGACAGCTGGCGTCTACGAGACGGCCCCGGGCGTTTTTTTTTGGAGAGCCCTGCCCTGCTCGATGCCTTCCTCGGGTGCGTTTACCAGGCGGCTTCGCGTGCTGGGGTGATTCTCGTGAGGGTGGGCTTTCTGCTCGCCCAGCCCAGCGACGCGCAGGCGGGCCCTGGTGGCAGCCATGCGGGCCCCACAGGTCGCCCGGGGGGGGGGGCGGCGAAGCGCAGGGCGCCGGGGCCGCTCCTGCTCCTGCTCTCGGCCATGCGCAGAGGGGGCGCAGTGGAGACGCATGTCAAGACACACCCTGCTTGCCTCCATCGTGCCCTGGGCTTCTTGGGTTTCGATGGGTTGTCCATGGAAAGCTTGACGTTCCCACACCAAAAATCAATGGACGTCCTGGGGTCGCAGGGTTGGGTTTCCTGTGAAAGGTTTCTGGTGGTCGAGGTCCTCCTGTAGCGGGGAGGGGGTCTGTTTACCGATCAACCGCCCAAACCGGCCCCCCAACAACAACAACGCTCCCGTTCGAGACTTCCTTCTTTTTTTACTCAGGGCCGGTGCTCTTGCTCGCCGCCGAAAGCAGCCGTCTCAACAAAACCAGCGCTCCCGCTCGAGACTTCCTCCCGTTTTCCCTTTGACAGGCGTGCTATTATTTCTCTCATCGGCGCCGCCCCCAGCAACAACAACGCTCCCGCTCGAGACTTTCTGTTTTACTCAAGGCGGTGCTCTTGCTCGCCGCCGACAGCCCCCGTCCCGACAAAACCAGCGCTCCCGCCCGAGGCTTCCTCCCGTTTTAAGTTGGACTGGCGCGCTTTTTTCCTCCTCCTCGTCCTCCTCCTCCTCCTCCTCCTCCTCCTCCTCCTCCTCCTTCTCCTTCTCCCTCCTCCCCCCTCCCTCCTCTTCCTCCCTCTTCCTTCCTCCACCTCCGCCTCTTTCTGCTCCCTCCTCCCTCCGTCCCTCTTTCCTCCCTTTTCCTCCTCCTCCTCCTCCTCCTCCTACCTCGTCTCGTCCTCGTCCTCCCCTCCTCCTCCTCCTCCTCCTCCTCCTCCTCCTCCTCCTCCTCCTCCTCCTCCCCTCCTTCCCCCCTCCCTCTTCCCGCCTCATCCTCCCCCCACCCCCTCTTCTTATCCCTCCTCACTCCTCCCTCTCCCCTCCCTCCCTCCTCCCTCCTCATCCCTCCTCCTTTCCCTTTTCGTCCCCCTTGTCTCCTCCCTCCTCCTGCCTCCCTCCTCCCTCCTCCCGCCTCCCTTCCCCTTCCGTCCTCCCTCGTTTCTGATATTTCCTCACCTTTTACTCAAGACTGGGGCCCTCGTTTCGGTATCGCTTCTGGCGGGCTTCCAAGAGCCCCTATTGAACCTTACTTATTTGATAACTATCACTGTCGGAGAGCATCGATAATGTGGAGGGGGAGGAGGAGGAGGAGGAGGAGAGGAAGGAGGACGGATGACTTCCAGGAGCTCCCAGGATCGAGTGTCGAAGGATTGATTTAATAGTGTGTGGAGGGGCAGGTCGAGGATTTGGGTCAAAGGATCGAGGGTCGAGGGATTCCTTACGAGGGTGTTGAGGGGCAGGTGGAGGGTGCGAGCATGGGAGCGGCAGCGCCTGGGGGCGTGAACGTTCTGGGTCACGCGCCGAGGCCGCAGGATGGTGGCGCAACAATACGCTCGAACGAGGAGTAAGAGCCACCTAGTCCTTCGAGGTACTGCTACTACAACTACTCTTTCTTCCTCATCCTCCTCATCCTCTTCCTCCTCCTCCTCCTCCATCCTCATCCTCCTCTCCCTTTTCTTTTCCCTCATATTCCCGCCCCTCCTCGCCCCGTTCCTCCTCCTCCTCCGAGATGCGGGGCGCGCGCAAGGCGATTGCGACGGCGATGCGCCGTCCGAGCTGTGGACGTCGAAAGCTTGGAAGCGGTGGTGGCAACGCCTTGCTTGCGAGGGAGATCTGGGCGAGGGAATATCTGACCCCGCATGCCTAACATTTCCCCCGTGATGGGGTGTGGTAGCCAGAAGGATGCGCGTGAGATGTGAAAGTATGGCGCATGATGGTCATGTGATTATTGTTTTGATGTTGATGTTCTCGCTGGTGCTGCTAATGCTGACGCTGCTGTTGCCGTTGACGCTGGTATTGTTGTTTCAGTTGCAGTTGGTGTTGGCGTTGGCGTTGGTGTTGGCGCTGTTGTTGCAGTTGGTGTTGTTGTTGTTGGTGGCGTCGCTGTTGCGGTTGCCGTTGCGGTCGCTGTTGTTGTTGGCGTTGTGCGCGTTGGCGCTGTTGTTGTGGTTTTTGTTGTTGTTGTTGTTGTTGTTGTTGTTGTTGTTGTTGTTGTTGAACATTATTAATTCTAAAGAATAATGCCTCTTCTATTCTCTGTGAGCAAGCTCCTGCTGTCTCCGCAGCTTCTCTGCCCAAGTGCCCCCCGTCGGCCGCGCGTGCGGGCGCCTTATGCAGGCGGTCGCACAAGCGGCTCTCCAGGGCGCTGGGGAGATTTTGTTCAGGGGGCTGCGGGCCGCGCTCTACGAGCGGCTCGTGGCTGCCCCCCTCTCTGTGCTTCAGGACCAGGGGCCTCCAGCTCCTGCCTGGTCCATCCTGCAGGCGGACTCGTCCGAGGGCGAGGGGGCCTCCTGCCCTCTCCCTTCGGCGGGTTCCACCTGCCCCACCGTCTGCCTCGGGCTGGCGGTGGACCTGAGCGGCGGGGTCTCTCCCTGGCTGCTCAGCACGGTCGCCGCCCTCCTCTGGGTGACGGCCGCCTGCAGCGCCTGCGCGGGCTGCTGCCTCGGGCTGCTGGGCCCGTACGTGTGGCGGAGGCTCTGGCCCTCCGCCTGGCCGCGCGGCGCGGTTTCTGCTTCGCCTGAGCAGGACCGCCGTGCGGCGCGAGCGCTGGCCTACGGGGCTCCGCCTCGACCTCAAGCGCTCGAGCGGGCAGACGCCCAGCGTGCGGGCGGCGGCGTCCACGGCGGCGCCCACTGATGGCGGAGCTGCCACCAGTTGGCGGAGGGCCCCTTTGGCCCGAGCTCTACCCTTTCGCTGCGCCCACGGCGCGCGACTACGCACGATGGCGCCTAGACGACGGCGACACCAGCTGGGCGGCTATCCCCCTCGCCTCTCGAGAAGGGGGCATCCTGCTGGCCCTGCCTGGTGCCTTTCGCTCTACAGCGGAGCTCGAGGCTGCCGAGGCGGATGGCTTTGCTGGGATGATAGGCCCCTTCCAGCTAGTGGACGTCCAGCTCCAGGGGGCCGCTTCACGGCCGCTCGCCACTACCGCATCCGTCCTCGTTATAGATATCGAGGTTGCCGAGCTCGAGCTCGAGTCGCTGTACCCTCTAGAGGTCGGCGACGACGCAGGCATCGTTCCCTTCGCCGAGGTGCGCAGCCGCGTCTATTGGCCGCATCCTTCGGGGGTTCGGGTGCTTCGCGAGGGCTACGCTCGTTTGCACGGCGCCCCGCCTACCGCAGGGGAAGAGCCTCTCCCAGGGGCCGATCGGGCTACCCCCTACCACTCTGCCGACGAGATGGAGGAGCCCGAGGGGTTCGCGGCCGACGGGGAAGCCGACCGCGCGGCCCCAAGTGCGCGAGCCCCCGCGGTCGCTGGAGCGCCGCGCGGCCCGCCCGCCAAGCGCGCTGGCGCCGCCGCGCCGCCACGGGTCGCGGGTCCTGCTCCGATTGCTCCTGGTGCTCCTGCGGCGTCTCTGGACGACGGGGCTCCCATGACCCGCGCCGAGGTAGCTGCCGAAATGCGCGCCTTGCTTGCAGCCCACGCGGCCTCCACGATGGTCGGCGGACCCGAACCGCTGGGCCCCGCTCCGGCTGCCCGGAGCGCTCGGCCCGAGGTGCCTCAGCTTTTCAGCGACGAGGCGGCGCGCCTCGGGCTGGATCCTGCGGGGATCGAGGCCGTCTTGTCCCACGCACCCGTGGCCCCTCATCGGGTCTCCGCGCGCCCCAAGGGACCCACCTCCGCGCTGGTCTCGGCGTGGGAGAAGGCGCGCTCTTCTGCTGTCCCTCGGGCCCCTTCGTCCGCTTTCGGACCGATGGGCCCCCCGCCGCCGCCTGGGCTAGCCTATCCCGCTGCGGTCGACGGCTTTGCCGAGGCGGGCGGCGCCGACGGGTTAGAGCCGCCCCTTGCGGCCAATCCGACGGACTTCAGCCTCATGCTTCAGTGCCTGCACCAGTCCCTTTCCTTGCAGCAGGGGCGGGGCCATCGCCCAGCCTTCCACCCGCTTCTGGGGACCCTGAGCGACCAAGCTCAAACTCCGCCCGCGACCTCGGGCGACCCCGCGCACGCATCGGCTCAGATGGGGGGAATCGCTCGGAGGCGCGAGTGGCAGCAAGCGCTGATGCAGCACGGCCCCGACGTGCGAGGACTGATGAAGGAGAATTTGGCCCGCGTTCTGGGCGTGGAAGTCAGCGCCGTGACCCCCATGGCCATGCATCAGTACTTTCGCGAGCACAGCCCCCTCGGGGCTCAGCCGTCGACGCACGAGTTGTTGACGCATTTTGCCTTCCTCAGCGCCGAGCTGTGGCGGGCCTGCGAGGAGGGCAACCCCGAGAGGGTCCAGACCTTGCTGACTTGCCAGCGCATGTTCATCGACCAGTTGGCGGGGGACCGCGGCTACCTCGAGGCCGCTTGGTTCCTCACGGGGCTGGAGCCTCCCCCGTGTCGCGTGACCAGTCGTCACACGGAGCGCGAGGCCCAGACCCCGTTTTCACCCCTAGTGGATCCTCGCTGGCTGTCGGCGCAGGGCGAATACATGAAGGAGCTGCAAGCATTTCGGGCGCGCCTCGACGCCGAGCGCGCCGTCGCGCTCCCCAAGCATCCACCTCATCAGCCCAAGCAGCCCAAGGTCTCAAAGCCCCCCTTCAAATCTCAGGGTGCTCCCAAGGCCCCGAAGGCGGTGCCCAAGAAGGACTGAAGATGCCCTTGGCGCCCGCCTTCTTGGAGGGGGGGCCTTCGCGTGGCCGAGGTACGCCGCCGCAGACAGTCTGCACCGACGCTGCTATGGCTGCTAGGCGTGTTTGGGCGCAGCGAGGGCGTGAGGGTAGGAATGCGCTCCTCCAGCGATGCTGTTGCGGCCCCGCAGGGAGGAGTACGTTCCGCCACCACGCCCCTCGCTCTGCTCCGAACCGCCCCTCGGATCCATTCGGCCATTTTGGCCGTCACCTGCCTCAGTCGAGCGCTCCCCCCATGGGGCCTGCAGCCCCTGA